ATTACCTTTTCAATTTCTTCTTTTGTAATGGGTCTGTTAAAATGTTCAATTTCAGTTTGTGTCAGTTTAGGTAGATTGTGCGTTTCTAAGTATTAGTCCATTTCCTCTAGATTTTCATATTTGTTTTTGTATAGTTTTTCATAATATTCAAATGTTAACTTTTTAATTTTAGTTGGGTCTGTTGTGATGTTGCCTGATCCATCTCTTATTTGGATTATTTGTTTCTTCTTCTTTTCTTTTGTGAGTTTTGCTAATGGTTTGTCAATTTTATTGACCTTTTCAAAGAACCAACTCCTAGTTTTGTTGATAGCTTCAATTGTTTTTCAATTTTCTATTTCATTTATCTCTGCTCTAATTTTTATAATTTCATCAACTGCCTTTTTTAAACAGATGGCACAACTTTGCTCATTGAGACTTAGGAAGACTTGAAACATTTGCTGCAGAAGTTCAAGGACTGCAGTCTTTACTATGGATTGCATCTCAACTTCAAGAAAACAAAGATTCTTACCAACAGGCCAATAGGCAGCATCATGATAGATGAAAAAAAGATTGAAGTTGTTAACAATTTCATCTTGCTTGGATACGCAGTCAACACCTTTGACACCAACAGTCAGTAAATCAAAAGATTAATTGCAGTGGAAAAATCTGCTGTCCAGGTCCACTCCTGACTACTGAAGAGCAGCATTGTCATTCTGGAGATTAAAGTGCACCTGCTTGATGCCATGGTCTTCTCAATTACTTTCTGTACATTAGAGAGCTGGATAATGACTAAGGATGATTCAAGAAGAATCGGTGCTGGAAAAGAGTCTTGTGCATACTATGGAATGCCAAAGCCAACAGGTCTGTCCTGGAGAGAGTGAAACTGGATTGCTTCTTGAAAACATGAATTTTTAAACTCCATACTTGAGCATGTTGCCAAGAGGGACTAGTCCTTGCAGAAGGACATCATTCTTGGAAGTTTGGAGGGTCAGTGCAGGAGAGGAGGACCCTGGATGAAAAGGATAACACAGTAACTGTGGGACTGGAGTCAGATGTGTCAGAGATGGTGAGGTTGGCTCAGAATAGGGCAGGGTTCAGAGCCATTTTTCATAGGGTTTCTATGAGTTGTAGTCCAATCAATGGCACCTAACAACAACGTATGTAAACTATCTTCCTAGAGATGGGAAGGCTATAGGACATAAGTTTTTATTAGGTGCCATTGAATCTGGTCCAGTTCATAGTTACCTTATGCCTTAATAATCATATTGACGTCCTACCCAGGCCTGCACCATTTTCATAATCTGTGTTTAGGCCGATTTTAGTTGCTATAACAGTGCATTTCCTTGAGGGTCTTCCTCTCCTTCACTCTCACACACCATGGTAGTGTTGGAACAAATGTATAGCTGAGTCTCCATCAGGTTTCCAAGGCTATAAATTGGTTGGAACAAATGTATAGCTGAGTCTCCATCAGGTTTCCAAG